CTCTTAAACTGTTATCAAAGCTACATTTTACGTACGAGTTCAGATGAATCTAGTAGCTTTTGTTTGGACTGTATTTGTATCAGGAAATTGATAAAATATGTATAAATATTTAGTCGAGAATCCAGTAACCAAAATAAGTTATGGGATCGGTGGTAAGTTCAAAACACATAAACTACAAATGTTGGCTCCGTCTTTGTGTGCATTGTGCAGTTTAGCTTTTGTAGAACTTAATAAAATGTTACATTTTTGTATGAAGGTATATAATTTTGTAGGTTAACTGGTTGATTATGCTGTTAACCAAAATCTTGGTTCGTGTTGCTCCCAAACCAATGTTTGTCACTCTTCCACACCTATGTGATGGAGATGCATCATGCCAACTACTATATGTATTTCATTAAAAGTAGCATCAGGGAATGCAAACTGATTTCAAAAACTGTGTAAGTCTTCTGTAAAACATCTAACGGAGTTCCCTCCTATGGATACTTAAGGGGAATTATGAAGTTATTGAGTAAATTTAGGCCGTTAATGGAGATTTAATATCGTTATTCTGATGCTCTCATTATTTCCAGGCCAATTATATAATAAAATGATGTTAATTAGTCATTAGCCATAAGTTTTCTTCTCACTTGTCTAATTAGTGTTTGGTAAGCAAGTTTAAGATGATGTAACAAAGGACAATTCCATTGTAAGGGTTGCAACATTTAGATTAAACATTCAGCAGCTTGATTTAGTATGTGTATAACTCAACACTGTTTCTCTAAAAGTTATTCTTTCTTGCTACACTTCCGCTTGACCTTTTAAATATCCTTGGACTATGATGCATAGTGCTTTTATTGATTGGGTTGGGGGTATTGCAGTTCTCCAGTTTACATTTAGTGGGGAAATGACAAACTCCTACTGAAAACTTAATAACATGATAACAGTTGTAACAAACACTACGCTAAGCAACTTGTTTTGTGCTCACCAGACATATGCTTGTCACTGTGTTTTTGCACTTCAATAGCCAGCAAAAATAGACCAACCTTTTAGCATTTCTTCCTTCTGTTTTTCCTAATCAGCTATCAGAACCTACCATGTGTTCTCCATTTCTCATATGCTTACCCGCCAAGGGCTTTACAAAACTAGTTAAATCAAATGTGGAGAAGCTGAAAAACTCATAGAACATTCACCACAAAAGGGAAGGATAAAAAAAATCTTTCCACATGTATCACTGATACAACAGTTCTGAAATTCTCTATGTATTAGTGATACATGAGTTTCTAAAGTTCGTTTTGTATCACTGATACAACAATTCTCTTCGTATTTGTTGTTGTATCAATGATATAGAGAAAATTTAAAAAGCCGTTGTGTCACTAATACAGTGTAAAATTTAAAAACTGTTGTATTACTAAGACAACAAATTTCAAAAGTTATTGTATTACTAATACAAAGCGATTTTCATAAGTTGTTGATCGACTATCTATTATAGGATCATAGGAATGTTTGCTTGAATGTTTAAACATTGTATTAAATGTTTGATACTTTTCTTATTGGGCAGTGTTTGGAAAGGATCAACCTGGTCGACTTAGGTGCTATGGTAGATCAGTGACAACGAGTTCTTTGAAGAAAGATAGGGAAATTAACAATCTAAAACAAAAGCATGCCAATGAAATCACTTCTCTAAAAGAAGAATTGAGAGAAGTAATGCGACATTTATTCACTCAATTGCAGTAAAACAACCCTGGATTGAATTTTCAAGATATACTAGGGTGTGTTGGATCTAACCTTACTTCACCTGTTGATGCAAGTAGCGCACAAGCTGTAAGAGGCACAAATCTTCCACATTCTTCAGGGTCAGCTCATGATTCAGTTCTTCAAAAGGTATTTTGTATTTCACATTCTCAGTTAATAGTCTGCATATTGTTTTTCTTCTAGTTGAGCTGGTGTTCTTGGTAAAGAAATTCTGAACTTATTTTACTATCTTGAATCTTTGAAAGTTCAGTCTGTACTTTGTTTTTGTCACTCATTGTCTCCTTTCAGCTTCTATATCTAATTTTTTTTATATTTTTAGTTGTATGAGTGGTGTATTGTGTTGAAGGAGGACTCTAGTGATTTTGCGTTGTAGTTGTGTACTTTTTTCCCTTGTTGTTTTACTACTATGAACTGTGATGGTTGTTGTGAGAGATGGTTTTAGTTTTCATTGCTTAAACTGATTCTCATAGTTAAAGTTGTCCCTTTTAGATTTCTTGGAAGGTTAGAGACTTTGTTGTATTTTGGTGAGTGAGTTTGTTGTCACTTGTGCTAGTTAAGCTCTGTTCTGATGTGGTTTGAGTTGTCATCATGTTGCTGCTGGTTCTTGTTTCTAGGAATCTGTCTTTCATGTACTTTGGTACCCTGTATCTCAGCCTCCTTTTGTTGTCTTCTTTTAATTGTTTTTTTTTTCTTGTTTGGTTTACCTTTTGATTTGTTGTTGAAAGGAGTCCGATCATTATCTTTCCCATTCTGCTGACTGTTATCACATGTATGGCCTAGATGATCCTTCTTCTTTGTTTCACTAGTAGGAGTAAAAAGATCTTGCCTCCCTGAAATAGTATAATTGTTGTCCTGAATTTTCTGCACTTGACCCTGACTTGTAGCATTAACTTGAGACATGTCTGGAACTTGTTGTTTATTCTGAATGTGATGTTGAGGGGTAGCAAGGGCTCTATGGTCTAGAATATGGTCAATGTGAGTGTTCTCATGCCCAACATGAGACATATTCCCCCATTTGGATACCCCATCCTGCAAGTTAGTTGTGTTCTCTTGACACCCTCCTTCCAACCCCCCAATAACTTCAACATCCTCATCCAAATAATTAACAATGGGGTTCTGGGGTAGGGGAGTAGTAGAGTCAATACATGTGATCCTTTTGCTTTGATTTTCAGAATTTTTTCTTTTGTTTTCCTTGTCGAAATTATTTGACAATTGGTTGGCTGTGGAAGGTAAATCAGTGGTTGACTTATTATTAATTTGTGTCTCTATTGTATCCCTATTTTTTGAATTCTGATTTTCAGCTCCTTCTTGATTGTTTGGTTGATCCTGCATAGATAGATCAATGAAATTATTAGAAATAGGGAGTGCAGAATTAGTAGTCATACCTGTGTGATGAGTCTGCTGTTGCTGTAATGTTTCCTTAGGAGATTTTGGTCTGTCCATGCTATGTTGAACTAGCCTGTAAGCTTTCCTCTTCTGAGTCTGCCATTCTTCATTCTTCATCAGCTGGCTTGTTGTTATTGCCTTGTTTTTGGTGTTGCTGGTATTGTGAACTGGTGTTTCCTTCCTCTCTATTTGTGTATTGCATTTGTAGGTTTGTGGAATCTTGTTTGCCTTGTTCCCCTTTGTTTTTGTTCTTCCTATCATCCTCCAACTCTTTTCTTTTTTTAAATTCCTCATCTCTTTGCTTAATAGTACAGACATGTAACAAATGTCCTTGGTGTTTACAATACATGCAGTAATCCTATATATGCTCATATTCAATACTTTGCCACCTCCATATGTTGAGATCTTCTTCATTCAACCCCATCCACACATGAGGAGGTCTATCTTTGGTAAGATTGATTTGGACTTTGACCCTAGCAACACTTCCTCTAGTTTTTTGGATAGAAGTTGTGTCCAATTACAAAACTCTGCCAATAGGACTCAATAGGGCTGACAAGATGTCCTTGTGATAGCAATGCCAAGGTAGCTTCGGTAGAGAAATCCAAATAGGGACTATAGGTGTTTCCTCCTCAGGCCTAAAAGTAGCAGTCCACTTTTGAATTGGTTGGCCTACAGTGAATACTCTCCAATTATGCACTTCCACATCTTTATTGTTATGAATTGGTTTGGCTTACTGTGAATTTAAGCATATTAAATACATGATTTATTTCACTAACTTATAATTTTATTTTGAATGTGCAGGAAAATGTCGGTAATTGAATTTGAATTGTGGCCAGAAGTAAACTCGATCTATTGTAGTAAACGATGAAGAGCTTTTGTACTATTGTCATATATGTTTGAATGCATTTGGTTTTGTGGAATTTATTGATAGTAGAGATCTTTAAGCATAATAAGCCACCGCCCAGTAGTGCTCTCTGAGCTTGATTGCTCCGAGCGGTAGGTCACAATCTGAATTTCAGACTGAAAGGCGGAAAGCAATAAGTTCAACGTGTAAGAGAATGCGTTTAACCGATTGAAAGTGTGATAAGCATCACTAACGGTATAGCGAATAGGGCGTTTAACTGTAACTCAATCACTTTCTAAGTATTGGTTGTACAAGACATGTTTCTCGAAGTTTATTTGAAATATATAGCTTCAATTTAATTATTAGTTAATTTTGTGCTTTATGTCACTTGTATATTTAATTATCTGATTATTGAATATATGCAAACAAAAATTATTATTCTTAAAAATAAAAAATTGTGGCTACAAAATTCTACACAACATTGCCACACTTCAAAGTGTTGTTGTAGGACGTCCAATGTTATCTTGTACATAAGAAAAGTTACACTTTATAAGTGTTGCTCTAGATGAGATATAAAAGGCAACACTTTTTAAGTGTGACCATAACAAAGCAAAGACAACGCTTTGAAGTGTAGTATAATAAAAAAAAGGCATCGCTAATGCATCACTACAAAGCATGCCCTTATACCTCTTTGGCTATGCTTTATAAGTGTAGCTGTGATGACGACATTTAAAAAGTGTTGCCTACTGTCAAAGTCTACGCTTCTTTAGGCCACCCCCTAAAAAGCGTTGTTTAAAGTCCAAAAGTGTAGCCTTTTATCAAAGGCCACACTTTTTGCTAGTTTAGGCTACACTTTACTGGTCTAGTGTAAATCAGAACATACATCAAACTACCTATTGCAGAGGAGTAGGGAATACAACATTTGTTTGATAAAGCTCTCTTAGCTTTCGTTAGTTTCACTAACTCATATGTGACATGTCCTAGCCACGACCTATTTAACAGTAACGAAGATTTTTATTTGTGAAAACAAAGAGATTTAATGGAGGAGATCTTAGAAATGAAGATTCAACATGTTAAAAATTATGTGAAGAGGTGCAACAAATTTATTATCTCAGAAATTCAGGTCAACGGGGAGAATTGTAGGGTGTATGCTCTGATTTTGTTATCATAATTGAGTTTTTCCTTCTTCCTAAAAGTAAAACACAATTTTTTCATATTAGTCTAATCCTTACAACATGAATCATTAATTTGGATAAACTTTAAACGACAAACCCACAAGTCAAATAGAGGAAAAAGAGAAACCACAAACCATCAACTGTGAGTTCAATTAATACTAATTAAAAAATGATTTACATGATGTTTTTCATTGTAAGAATATTTTATTTGTTATAGCTAAATGACCACAATGGAACAGATGTTAACAGAGTGGCAGACTTCACTTTATTCACCAAAATTTGTTCCTTGACAATTGAATTGCACACTATTTTCATTGCAAAATTCTCTCATGAATGTCTTCTAGATGCTTTTGTGTTTTGTGCACAAGTACAATTACATATTCTAACTAGACAACTTTAAAATTATCCCACTGGATTCATTTATCATATACTATTAATCTTTTTCTCATGCATGAAAATATTGTGAGTCTAAAATCTGAACTTCTAATTATGAAAATATATATTATATGTTGAATGGTATGAATCACTTTATATCTAAAAGTTTAAATCGTTAAAAATACATTTTTTTATTTGTTTAGGTCCTGAATATTTCTTAGCTTGTGTTAAATAACGAATTCTGAATTTTTAATTTATGAATTCTTTTTACTATTGTTCCGAAATTACGATACACATCTAATTGTTCAATCAAAACACAATTTGGAGCTTGGTTTGTTGAGGTGGTACCATTTGCTGAAACAATGTCAAAACAACAAATTTTCAAAACCAAATAAGCAAATTAATAATAGAATGTGTTTCGAACCTATTGGAATCATTAAATCACCAATTCAAGATCGTTTTGACCAAATATTTATCGTGGTCAACTCAAAATTTTCAAATGAACTAAAAATCTAACCAATGATCCAAACCACTCCCAAGCCTCTCAAGACCCCTGCAAAACATTTGATGATGTCATAAATGTTGGGTATTTGCCCTGAGTTTTTTTTAACCATAAATAGGTTTTTCTTATTTCTAAAAGGAAAACATAAAGTCTTCATACTTGGCTAGTCCTTTTCTTGTAGGAAATCGTTTAGGACTCTATAAATAGAGTCTCGTTCCTTCTAACTTAATCAACATTCACAATGTAGTCCTAGGGGTTTTGAGAGTTTTGTTTAGGGGAGAATTTATGGGACACAAGTTATCACTTGTGTGAACCTCTTTCTATTCCAAGTGAATTGTGTGATGTTACTTCTCTCGATATTTTGTACTCTCAAATTTATATAGTGTTTTGATCATCTCCTCTTATGGACGCAGGTCTATTGATTGAACCACGTTAAACATGTGTTTTTTTAGTATATTTCTCGTTTGTCTCCTTGATCATGATTTTTTGAGTCTGCTTTGCTAGCTTCCGCATCATACCTAATTATTTCGGTCCTAAGAATAAATTACCCTGCATTAGAAATATTGGACCAAACCACCAATACCAAAAGCCATAGCAAAATAGCATCAAATCTCTCTTTGTATAATAATGGCTACATAATTGAGGAACATATTCTGTTGTTTTTACATTTGAAAAAGCAACACAGTTTAGTACATCATCTTCCAATATAAAAAGGGTCCAAACAAAACTTTGAATTCCAACATCAGGCCAAAGAAAATCTATCAAAAACCATAAGTTGAAGAGCAAAAATCTTTTACTCCAAAAAACTAAAAAAAAAAAATGGGTGCTAACTACTCAACTACTTTGCCTGAAGCTCATAATATGCCAACCACACCATAATTCAAGAAGTCTCAAGTCATTGCTTTCCACTCTTCAACAAAATGGAAGCTCCATTTTGATTCTTTGAAAGATACAAACAAATTGGTAACCATTTTACAACAACTAATTCTCTAATGATATCGTGTATTTATTATTTTAAGTTATATATACCGTCAATATAAGAAATTTTTACCCCATCAGGCCACCATTACCTATTGTAGCAAGATAACAAACCCCGCATTATAAGGAGACTTACATGTAGATATCCTTTAGATGATCTTTTTACATTGAAGGTGTATATATAACTAAACTCCTTTAAATAATATATACAAATTGTGTTTAAAGAAACTTATGTTATCATTCTATCTCAACATGTTATAGCAAGTAACTTGTCTTATTTCGCATCTAAATATGTAATTGTCTTATAATGTAAACATATATTTTAAACTATTAGTATATAAAAGTTATACTCATTGTAAAGGGTACTCTAATCATTAGGTTCTTTTGCTATGTTGTTTCTAGGTTGTTATTGACTTCACAGCTACATGGTGTGGTCCTTGCATATATATGGAACCAGTTCTTACTGACTTTGCTGCAAAATATACAGATGTTGAGTTTGTCAAGATTGATGTTGATGAATTGGATGTATGAATTCTTAACATCACAATCCTTTTCTATATTTTTCATACTCGTCGAGTTTATTTCTCATATGGTCATTCAACTAATAGTTATTATCTCAGAAAGTCACTTTTTTTACTTTCTCAGATAATAACTATTAGGTGAGTGATCGACCATCTTAGAAATCAATCTCATACTCGTCTAACGTCTCAAATCTTCGTTGAATTGTATACAGGATGTGACTTTCTGAGATAATAACTATTAGTTGAGTGATCGACCATTTTAGATCAATATCATACTCGTCTAACATCTCAAGTCTTCGTTGAATTGTATACAGGATGTAGCTCAGGAATATGGGGTTCAATCGATGCCAACGTTCGTGCTGATAAGGAAAGGGAAGGTTGTTGACAAGATTGTGGGAGCAGATAAAGATGGACTAAAGAAGAAAATTGAGAAACACAAAGCTATGTTCATCTAAGCAAATTAAACCAAAGTGTGCAATAAATGTTTGAGCAGAGTTTGCTGGAATGACACTTACCCTGTAGAATAAAACTTCATATTATTATAACATTTTGATTGAGAGAACTTAGCAGTAAACTTCACATTCAAGAGGCTGATTAAACCACTACTGTTACACATTTACTTGGTTTGAACAAGTGTATTAATTCTGAGTTTTGTGTTCTTATAATGTCTTTTTCCAAATCCAACATCCTATAGTCACACAGGCGAAACTAGAATGTTTTAGACTTAGGGTTTAGTTTCACACTTTTATTTCTGAATGTCTCAAACTCTGGGTTATTCTACAATATGTCACTGTTTGCTTTGAGCAAGATGTGATCTGTCAACTGATCATATGCATGGTCATTTGATTTGTCACCTTGTTTCTAAGTGATTTTTAATGAATTTTTTTGTGTGTCAAATCTTAATGGTTAAATTGATAACCCAACTGATAACGATCAATAATCGATAAATCAATAACCAATAAGTCAATATCTTATTGGTTCCATAACGGTTTAACATATCTACAAACCAATAACTGCTAAGTCAAACCGATAAACTTCAAAATAGAACCAGAGCAACCGATACACAACCCTAGTTCAACATAACACTAATCTTACTAATCATTTGCATTATTGGGTTCGAAATTTAATATTGTTACATACTTAGCAGATTTTTTAACACAAAAACAAAATTTGAGTCAAAACTACTGAATTCATCTAAACTCATACTTCATACTTCATCCGCTTTAATTTATTTGTCTGGTTTTAATTAGATGTGTAATTTAAGAAAGTAAAAAATATTTTTAAATTTTATAGTCTAAAACTAAAAATACGTAAAATGTATCAAAATATTTTTTAATCTATCTTGTGGTTTTTAAAGATGCTACATCAAAAATTGAGATTAACGAGTTACCAAAAAGGAAAAAAAGATATTCTTTTTAAAATAAACTAATAAGAAAACTAAGATAGAAAAATTGAAATTAGAAAATCCTGATTCCTTACTCTTCCCCAGCTCCTCAAACCTCATAAATATAAAAGTTGTTCTTTTTTATACAATAATGATAAATAAATATAATAAATTATATGTAACAGCTTTATGATTTGACTTATTTTAAGTCCGCTAAATATCAAAAGGAATTAAAATGAAAACGAGAATATGCTTGAGAAATGGAGCTTTAGAAGTTTCCCTTTTAATAAAGAAAATGAAAATTGTATATATAATATGTAAAAAGAAAATCTATCACCTAATTTTTTACTTTTTTAGATTGATCTCTTTTTCTAGAATGTTAAAGCAATTCAGGAGAATATAAAAAACAACTTTAATAGAGTGATTTAAGAAATAATTAGGAACATTGTTACATAAGAGATGAGTAAAACTTTTCACTAGATTCCTCTATCACCATCTATAAAAACGTATTTGAAAACTCACATATAATTAGATTTAGATATAATTTGATATAATTATACAATTTTGACATATAATTACGATTATTCTAAAAGAGCGGTAAAAGCTCTCGGTATTTCTTCCATCACCACCTATAAAAAGATATTTGAATATTTTGAGTAAATTTTATGGGGTTATTTCTTTTGGTATATTTCTTTTTTGTTATTTAATTTATTAATATACTAGCTTCCGCATGATACCAAAATTATTTCGGTCCTTACGACATGAATCTTTAATTTGGATGAACTTGAAACGACATAGATGGAAGAGTTATTCTTAGCACCCACAACTCAAATATAAGAAAAAGAGGAACCACATTCCCTCAACTTTGGTTCAATTAATTAAATGATTTACATGATATTTTTCATAATAAAAATATTTTTCATGACAAATATTTTTGTTGTACCTAAAGGACCACAATGGAACAGATGTTAAGAAAGTGGCAGACTTCACTTTATAATTCAATTGGAAATATTCTCTTCACCAAAATTTGTTCCTTGACAATTATGAGTTCATATATATATATATATATATATATATATATATATATATGAAGTTGTAATTGAATTGCACACTATTTTCATTGCAAAATTTTCTAGCGAAAATGTCTTCTAGATGCTTTTTTTGTGCACAAGTACAATTACATATTCTAACAAGACAGCTTTAAACAATTTATATATATATATATAATTCTATGAATTCGTTTTATCTGAAAGTTTAAACCGTTAAAGATATTCTTTTATTTATTTAGGTCCTCAATAATTCCTAGCTTGTGTTAAAAGGCGGATTCAGGATTTTAAATTTATGAGTTTCAAATTTTAGAACATGCATAACAATTATTAAGTTTATAATAGATTATTTCTACCTATTAAGGGAACTTTTAAAACATAATTACATATTTTGAACGGAAGTTATTGAATTATGTTGAATTAGTAAGATACGGCGTAGATCCGCCCTTGGTTGTGTTTGGGTGCATCAAATGGGCGCAGCGGACAAATTTACCTTAAAGTTATCGGGGTAACTAAACTCAATATTTTTTATACGACTAATTCATAGAAGGTTAAATCTGTTAAGTTTTAATCCTAGTTCCGCGACGAATGTTAATTATTGAAATATCAATTTCTATTATTATTTTTTTAGCTATTTTAATTGGTGATTTTAGTTTCAGATTCAATGAATTTACTTTTTTAGGGCCATAATTTTGCATGATATAAATAAGAATAGAATCTATCATTTTCTTGTACGAAATGCTATCCAACTTTCCCCTAATTAAAATTGAAACTTTATGCTATTTTCCATCTTGTAATCGTATTCCTATTTTCAAAATAATATGAACCAATACTTTAGACAACATTGTTTCTATCACCAATAATAATATTCTAATATAATACTACAATTGTTAATAGATATAATGTTCTTTTTCAAGTATTGGTTCCTATTATTTACAGATATAAAGTTACTAGATGAAGAATATAACCAATAAAGTAGCTGTATGTACTAATAAACAACTTTTTCCCAGGTTGACATTATGGTAAAAAGTAAAAACTTACCTGTTCACCCAAATTCAATACATGCATGTCATGTGCTTGAATTACAGTGGAGTGATGATTTTTATCAAGGAAACATGATTTAAAATCTGAAAAAGTAAACATACGAAAAAGTTGAACAGGGTGACATCTACTATGTATACATAAAAGATAATTGTAACTATGTATCAACAATATTTTCTACGAAATAGGGTTCAGATAAACCCCTTAAGCCCTTAGTTGCTTCGCCCTGCTTGAATAATATACTATTTTTACTTTATCAATGATTAATTAACATGTATTTTCTTTTTCATTAAATCATTTAATCATGGTAAGTTATACTCCTATTTTAATTTGTTTGTCGTCTTTTTCTTTTTAGTCTATTAATTGATAAAGAATGTCTCTTTTTTCTTTTTGACAATTCTTTAACTTCAACTTTCCACGTGACATGTTCAAAACCACAATATCAAAGAACATTTTGATACATTTTACATATCTTTAGTTTAAGAAAACAAGATTAATTAAAAATTTACTTAACTTTCTTATACTCCATACCAAGTTAAATTCAACCAAATAACTTAAATAATTTTGACATCTTCCATCCGTTATCTTCTTGGTGACCTCAATAGCGTAATATTATGTTATAAATAGAATTTAAAACACATTAGAATAAAGTGATAATGACACTAAATTGGAAATATTGGACCAAAGGACCATAACCAATTAAACAAAAAAGCAATTTAGCATCAAAATCTTAATTTTTTATATAAATAAATAAAAAAATGTAATGGTCGACCTAATGAAGAACATATTCTATACTCATTTATAAGTTATTTTTACATTTAAAGAAAGAAAAATTTGTACATCAGCAACCTCTATAAATAGGGTCTTTGCAAAACTCTAAGCTCCAACATATCAAATATAAAAAATAACCTCTTAAAAACTAGAAGTTAAAAAAGAGGGAAAATCCTTTTTTTTTTTAAAAAAAAAACCTTGAAGAAAAATGGGTGGTTACTACTACCCAACATGGCCTGAATTTAACAAGAAGCCAATCACACCACAAATCAAGGGGTCTCAAGTCATTGCTTTCCACTCTTCAACAAAATGGAAGCTCCATTTTGATTCTTTGAAAGATACAAACAAATTGGTAATGATCATTTTACACTATATATCACTCTATTGTAACATGTTGTAGAGCCCGTTTCGATTAACTGATGGTACATAGTTGATAAGCTTTTTAAGGGTTGAAAATCATTTGAAAGTGTTTGAAACTGATTTTATAAATAAATAGTTAAATATTAAGATAAAAGTGTTGAAACTGGTAACTATTTTGATTCTTTGAAAGATATAAGCAAATTCGTAATCATTTTCACACTATCACTCTATTTTAACAAATTGTAGAGCCTGTTTTGCTTAGCTGATAGTAAATAGCTGATAAGCTTTAAGTGCTAAAAATCATTTTAAGTGTTTGAGATTGATTTTATAAATTAACAATTAAGTATTTGGATAGAAGTGCTCAAACTAGTAACTGTTTTGATTATTTGAAAAATACAAACAAATTGGTATTCATTTTTACACTATAACTATATTTTAACCTATTGTAGGGCCTGTTTTCATTAGCTAATGGTAAATATCTGATAAGCTTAAAGTGCTGACGCTTGACAATCATTTTTAAATGTTAGAAACTGATCTTATAAATAAATAGTTACGTATTTAGATAAAAGTGCAGAAACCGATAACCACTTTGGTTCTTTGAAAGATACGAACAAATTGTAAATTATTATATGGTACTAATCACTTGCCCTGTTTGATCTACTAGGTTGTTATTGACTTCACAGCTACATGGTGTGGTCCTTGCAAAAACATGGATCCAATTATCAATGACTTTGCTTCCAAATATACAGATGTTGAGTTTGTCAAGATTGATGTTGATGAATTAGTTGTACGACTTCTTTAACTTCACAATCCTTTTCTTTTTTTCTAGTTTAATTTCTATAAATTGACGTATTTACACAATCATGTCCACTTATAAGATAATTACAAGCAAACCTCTATAATAAACGTCACAATGTTGTAAAAACAAGATTTATAACGTCAGTGCATATATCTTAAATCCTTTTCAATGATACTAATTGCTCGAATCTTGGACGATTGGAAACAGGATGTAGCTCTGGAACACGAGGTTCAAGCTATGCCAACATTCACGTTGATGAAGAGAGGGAAGGTTGTTGACAAGATTGTGGGAGCAGATAAAGATGGACTAAAGATGAAAATTGAGAAACACAAAGCTAGCTTATACTAAGCAAACCAAAGGGAAATACAAAGGAATGACACTTCCTGTGTTGAATAAAATTCATGTCTTTGCGCGAATTTCAATTGGATGATATTGATCGAGTGGTCTCAGTTATGATTTTTTAACTGATACAACTAGCTGTGTATTCATCTCAAGTTCTTGTTCAGTTCGGATTGTGAAATTTCGAAGAGGCTGACTAAAGCACTATTTTTTGTTACATTCATATTTGAATAAGAAAATGTCTATCTGTTTGTTGTGTTCATGTCTTTTCCATAAAAAGTATATTTGATATGATCAATGAATGCAAGTAAAATACATGTAGTCAGAGCAACTTTGAGGTTTGACAAATACATAAAAGTTTGCAAGATGTCCACTCCCGAATGGGTCTGCAGTGCGCAATTCAAATTTAGTCGGAGTTCCAATGCAGGTTTTGAATACTAGGTGGGAAACCAAAAAAAAGAAAAAGTTTGCCAGATGTCAAACAGAATTACAAGGAGAATATGTAATTTGTTAATTGGAAGTAATTTTGTAACTGGTCTGCAGTGTGCAATTTAAATTTAGTTGGAGCTCCAATGCATGTTTTAAATACAAGGGGCACTACACCATTTTAGGCCTACGGCCACACTAATTTTGGACAACGCTTGTAAAGTGTTGCCTAAAATATTTTTGGGGACGCTTTCAAAGTGTAGCCTATGTTTTTAACTTTTAGCTACACTTTATATTCGCAACATTTAAAAAGTGTACTCTTTAATGGTATAAGCTACACTTTATAAGTGTTGTTACAGTATGGTATAATTGACAACAACTATTAACATATATGGTGTAACATCTGACAATTTAAAATGAATATGAAGAAGCTTGAAATTGGAAGTAGTCATTTTTGGAAAAATTCAGAATTTGGAAATTTGGCTAAGTTCAGAATCTGGAAATTTGGCTAAATTCAGAATCTGGAAAATTTGGTTAAGTGTGGAAAAAAAATGAGTTTTTGGTCAAGTTCAAACAATCATAACTCCTGTCTCATGATGATTTAGGTGTATTTCCAGATATTTTTGGAAAGCCCTTGGAATGATCTTTCCAACGCCACTGAGTTTGCTCGATTCCGAGTTCGTATGAGTGAGTTATGCCCTTTGGAAGTTGGGCAGTTGGCAGGGATTTCCGTCCGGAAAATTTTAAGGGTATTTTGGTCTTTTCCCTAATCAATTGTTTTGGTTATATTAAATTGTTAGACTTATTTTATATCAGTTTGTCTCATTTTTTTAAAGAGAAAAGAGCTAGGGCTTGGGAGAGAAGAGAGAAAGAAGAGAAGGAAGAGGAGAAAGAGAAGAGCAATCAAGGAGATCATCATGGATATCGTCGGGGGTGATCCCTACTAGGTATGTGACTTCATAGTGATGGGTTTATTCTTCCCCCCACATACCAAACTCGTTTTATTATTGAGAAAAGATTGGTTGTGTTGTTTGGAGTTGTTGGCTGTGTTGTTGATATTGTTAATTGTGTTGTTGAAGTCCCTTGTTGATTTGGGACATGATTTGGTTGTGTTTTTGAGTTGAATCTATTGTATGTAAGTTCATAGTGTTGGTTGGTTCATACCCCCACACGCCAACTCGTTTTTAATTCCAAGAAAAGATTTATTTTGGTTGTTGGAGTTGTTGGTTGTGTTGTTGAAGTTCTTGTTGATGAGGGATATGTTTCCTGTTGTGTTCTTGAGTTGAATCTATTGTATGTTGAGGGGTTTTATGTTTCTAAGTGATTGGGGCTGAAACCATTGAAGTTGAGGGCTGGCGCGCCAGGCAAAGTGCCCAACAGGCCCTTTTGAAGTTGAGGGCTGGCGCCTAGCAGAGTGCCCAGCAGGCCCCTTTGAAGTTGAGGGCTGGAGCCTGGCAGAGTGCCCAGCAAGCCCCTTTGAAGTTTGAGGGCTGGCGCCCCGCACCTCTTAGAGCGCCAAGGACGCCAATCCTTCCCGTTACCTTTATTCCCCACTTTTTCATACATATTCCTTGGTAAAGTACCTATGTTTTATAGTTGTTTCCAATACTTTAAGGTACATCTTAACATCCCAAACTCATCCATAACATGTGATCAAACACCTTGAATTCATAATCCGATTCAAGGAGAGTTAGTTTCCAAGTCAAGCGAAGTTAGAGCCAAGCTTAGAAGTTAAGTAAGTCAAAGCAAGTTTTTTTAAGTTGTTCAAGAGTCTTTGGTGAACGTTTTAGCTTCATTTTTAAGACTCAAGTTTCAAGTCAAGTAAAAGGGTATAAAGTTTCAAATCAAGTAAAGGGTATAGAGTTTCAAGCCAAGTGAAGAGTCTCAAGTTTCAAGTTAAGTCAAGAGCATAAAGTCGAGTCCATTTCTCCAAAGTTATTAGGGAACTATGTATTTCCCAAAGAAGTTTCTAAATGTTTTTACATTTAAGTAAGAAAAGGAATATCGATTCCAAAAGAGCCTTTGGGCTAGATTTTGAGTAATTATCTGAAGTTAAAGAAAGATATGTTTAAAGACACTTATGAGCCAAAGTATTTTTGGGAGTAGTATTGAGCACCGAATTGGGGACACGAGTTCATATTAACTCAACTCTCCATAAGAACCATGTGCCAACATGGGATTTCTCGGGTCATACTTTTTAGATGATCACGAAAGTTAAGCTAGTGGATCCACTTAGTAAAGTTAGCTTCCTATATCACGGCAAGTTATAGGATGGTCCTTGGGCAACGTGAGGTAAAACGTTGTATCATCACTAGGGCTCATAGTGGTGGTTGTCGGTTAAAGAATCTCCCACATAAGTTATATTTCTTTTATACAAGTAAAGTTGAGTTGTTATTGTTTTATCATTAACAAACTAAGTTGTTTATACTGTTTTACAAGCCTTATATATTGCATGTGTCTTATTGATTTATATATTGAGTTCAGTTATTCATGAGTCGAACAGAGCCAAGGTAAGTGTTCTCTTTCTACTCTTTTCAAGTTTAAGTTGTGGTTTAGCTTTTCAACTCGCAACTCGTACATTCCATGTACTGATGCCAGTTGGCCTGCATCTTATTATGATACAGACGCAGGTACCCAGAATCAGCATCCAGTGCGCCGTTGATCCAGCTGAGCACTCCAGAGTCAGTGGTGAGCCTCCTTGCATTCCGGAAGACTCAATTATTTTGTGTTCTTAGTTTTGTTTTATTAGGGTGTTGCGGGTCTGTCCCAACATCTATCTCAGTATTTTAGAGGCTTCATAGACAGTTAGTCAGTTAGTTTTGAGTCTCTCATCTATGTATATATGTAAATATTCTATTTTGAGATTCGAGTTGCCTTTTTGGCCAGATTTTATAAGTTAAGTTGTTTTGTAACCTTGCATTTGCATTGAGTTATTCTGTTGGGTTAGGTTTCTGCTGAGTTAAGAAAGCCAGGCCAAGGGTTCGCTTGGGGCCAGAAATGGTCTCCGGGTGCCGTTCCCTCCCAGGGTGTAGGCTCGGGGCGTGACGAACTTGGTATCAGAGCACAGAGTTCATGAGTTCTAGAGAGTCTATGAAGCCATGTCTGTAGAGTCCTAGTTATCGATGTGAACCGCGCCACATCTATAATTGGGAGGCTACAACATTTTGGAAGATTTCTCACTTCTTTCATACTTATTTCGTGCTTTAGAGTTGATGTCTAAAAAGTTTCTTTCTAATCTGTGCTTGCGCGTGTTTTCAGATAATCATGCCTCTACGAAGAGTTAGCAGAGGGCGTCTTCCTAGACGTTATGTTGATGATCAAGAGTTACCTTATGCCCCGGGAGTGCAAGATCAAGGGGAAGTTTCTAATGCCGAGTTCAGAGAGGCAATTAGAATTCTGAGTCAAGCTCTAACTAATCAGATTGGTCAGCAAAGGGGAGCTCGACATGAAAGAGCTGACACTTCAAGGATTCGTGAGTTATTGGGGATGAATCCTCTGAGTTTCACGGGTTCGAGCACTACTGAGGATCTAGAAAACTTCATTGAGGAGTTGAAGAAGATTTTTTATGTGATGCATGTGTCAGATACTGAGCGAGTTGAACTAGCTGCGTATCAATTGAAGGATGTTGCTAGAACTTGGTTCGATCAGTGGAAAGGGGCAGAGCTGAGAATGCACCACCTGCGAGTTGGGTCTGTTTTGAGGAAGCTTTCTTGGGGCATTTCTTTCCTCGAGAATTGAAAGAGGCCAAGGTACGTGAGTTCTTCACACTTAAGCATGATTCTTTGAGTGTTCATGAGTACAGTCTGAAGTTCACACAACTATCCCGCTATGCTCCAGAGATGGTGGCGGACATGAGAAATAGAATGAGCTTGTTTGTTGCTGGGCTGTCTCGGTTGTCAAGTAAGGAAGGTAGGGCTGCAATGCTTATCGGGGACATGGACATATCAAGGTTAATGGTTTATGTGCAGCAGGTTGAGGAAGAGAAGAGGGACAAAGAATAGTTCAGAAATAAGAGAGCTAAGACCGGTAACGAGTCCGGGCAGCAGAGAGGTAATTCAAATCATTCGTCCTTCCAGCAAAGGCAAAAGGGACCTGCTCCATCATCTGCTAGAGCACCTGCACCCCGATACAGAGGGGAATTTAATGGCCAGAATTTGAAGGACTTCAAGGCTAGACCAGCACAATCTTCGGGTAGTGTGGCACAAAGAGGTAGTTTGTTTCCTGCATGTGCTAGGTGTGGTAGAGTCCATCTAG